TTTCATTAAACTTAAATCTACCCCCCAACTAATATATATTGGTTTGCCCATTGTGACCGTTTGAATTGCAAAACCCTTGAGAGATAACCTAGCTACGTTCTTCTCTTCTGCTTCATGCTACTGTTTGGCTTAGCTTCTTCTTTTTCTGGCTTTCTTCAGTCTTTATGGATGCTACCTATGTAGTTGCAATAATACCTTTGTTTGTGCATTCTTTTGTGAATAATAAAAGAAATCGGAGTGAATAAAGTTGTAGGTGATTTTGTGTTGGTTTTTTATGGTGTCGATCAGTTTTGGTTTCAAACTGACCTTGAAAAATCTGTTTGTGTTCAATCTTTATAATTACATTTGGTCGGAGAAACGAAGGCCATACCCACACTCAGTAGGCAAATACACTTCTTCCTAGGCGACGCGTTAAGGCAATAGTGACACTTCTTCAAGGTAATGCATTAAGGCATTGACGGTCAGAGGCGACAATTTTGAGGAGCTCCCTTTGAACAGATTGCTCGTTTTTATCATTCTAAACGTGCTGATATCGATAACTTTATGTTTCAAGTTATATAGTGAATTATGGACTGTTTTGCCCCTGGACCCTCGTCTTGCGATCTTTGGTCAATCACGTCAGTACATTTACTGAAATTTTAGGGCAAATAGTGGTGGCCCTAAAACAACAGATTCACATATCTTGATTTTACGTACCTTTAGATTTGATTCGCTATGGTAAATTGGCTTTTCTCGATTAAATTTCAATATTAATGCTTCAATGTGTAAGGGATTGGGGGTTACCATGTGAGGTAAACATTGCTTGTGCTGGAAATTAGAAATTACTTGCTTTTACGTGATGAAAGTATGTATTTTGATAAAAATCAGTTTATTATCTTTATGATATACAGTGTGTGAAATCGTTTGGTTAAATTATCTCTCTGTTACACCGTTAATTCCACTAGAATATCTAAACCTTACCCGTTTGAATATTCCATTGATCTAAGATTGTGAATCTTACAAAACCTCGAGAATCTAGAATGGTGTATCTTGTCTATAACCCTAGGACTACTATGTTTAGCTTAATTGTGATTCTGAGCATTTTTTTTTATTCGTATAAATGTCACAATTTTGATTTGAGAATTTTTAACGAAAAAGGTGATTTTTCAATATGGCTACAATAGATAAGAGATATTTTGGTCCAACAAAAGTTTCAAAGGACATTGAAGGAATTTTTCTGCTAATTTTTCAAAAGAACAAAAAGAAAAAGCCAATGAGCTTACTTACATTTCAAATATTTTACACTTGTCAGATATCATTTTTAGAAAAGTTGGTAAACTTGATACCACAAAAGAACTTTGAAAAAAATTGGAAGACTTATCTTTGCTCAAATCTACTCCTAATAAATTGTACCTACTAGAAAGATTTTTCAGTTTTCAAAGATATTTTTTCAAAGGTTCTTAATGTCAACTCATATATTTTTAACAAATTTATTCAGGATATTGTTAACTGTGATGAGAAGCTATCTGAAACATATAAGACCATTATTTTGATAAAATCTAAGCCTAATTTATATAGGGAGGTTAAGAATGCGATTAAGTATTGTAAGGATACCTTAACACTCGTGATTATCATAAATTCCCTTAAGAGTAAAGAAATGAAAATTAAGGATGAAAAAGAATATAAGAGTAGTGATCTACATATGATAAAGAACATAACGAAGTTTAAGCAGATGAGTTTGGACAAGGCTCAAGATAGTAGTGACTCAAGTGATAAATGTGGTAAGAAGAAAGGCAAGGGTTGGGACAAATCCAGTGGTAGATGATGTTACAGTAGTGGTAAAGCTGGGAACTTTATTGGAGACTATCCCAAGAAGAAGGATAAGTAGAAATTTAAGATGGGAGGTGGGACGAATGTGGCTATAGGGTCGAATGATGAACCCCAGTGAGGTTCATAAAAGTAAACTTAGTTACTCCATGTACATTTGTGTGTAATCATTTCTGCATGTGTGTAATTGCTTAATTATGTTACAATATTAAATGTTGCATTTCAATGTGGTTGATGTGTACATTTGTATAAATTTGAGAGCTATTTGATTATTTGATGTAATCATTTGCATGCATAGTTGGTTGGGATCCATTAGCAGTAAGTGCATTATGTGTCTATTGGTGATATGAAGTATAAATGCCTTGGAATACATTAGTGGTATGTACTAGGGATGTGGAGTTTGCCATTTAGATCACGAATAGAGAGGTGATTAAATGTTAGAGTCCTTTATCTGTGAAAGGCCCTGGCTAGGTAGAGTGTTAGAGAGACACTTCTATCACTTCTATTAGATGGAGACCATTATAAACTTAGGTAGAAGAAGTGATGTGGTGACATAGGAATCCTGAGGACTTTGTATCTAATTGTGATTTACTAGTTAAACATGAGTTGAGTGATCCATCTAGAAGCAAAGTGGGCAATGACAGGGAATGTATTCTCGAGGTGTGAGCAACACGGAATGAGATATAATAAGCATGGTGAGATTGGTCAAAATGAATTCTTGTTTTGACTAAACAGTTATGGATGACTTAACAATTTCAATTCAAATCGACCTATCCGGTATATTTTCCACGTTCGTAGGAGTGCGTCTATGTTTTTGCTTTTACGAATATGATATTTTTTGGGCATTTCTAATAATATCAAGTCTTATTCTATTTTGTAATTTTTCATTTCCAAGATTTTAGCCCCGAATAGGAGACATGATCCCAAGCCAATTCTTAACATGTACCCCCTCTTCTAGGTCCATCACAAGGAAAACAAAAATCAAGATTTGCTTTATCCGGTATCAAACGGGAGCTACGAGCAAATAGAACACCTTTCAGGAGTATCAATACCATGACATGAATCGTAAATGCATGGATGTGATGTACCAAAAAATCCACGGTCCTTAACGGAATAGGTAACAAAGCCACTTTGCCACCCACTACTACTAAATCACCACCTCCCAAGTCGTGGCGTCATTTATATATTTGTTGCATATGCGTTGGCCTTTTATTGATTAACTTGGTGTTAATATGTTGTTCTGTGCCTATGTTATAATTTCATCACATATTTGTTTGCTCTTGATTGTTTGTTTTTATTATGTACTCTACTTGGGTGTTTTTTACCTTAGACTTGGTAAGTATATCAGGTCTTCTACTTGGGTGTTTTTTACATGGAGCAGGTATAGTGTGTGTTTCGAGTTCAAAACGTGATGGAAGGTCTGTGATCCTAATTTTATTGGTTACCTTTATTATACATGTACCAATTGTGTGTTTTGATTTTTTGTAGGTTTATTAAGCATTAAGGTGAAGATTTGTTGGGTTTTGGGCAATGATGTTAAATCATTAGTACTCATCGGTATTGACCAAATGATTGAAGTGAAATATCGACATCTCAGATGGAACAACCCAAACCTATAGCAAGTGTGGGCCATTGGAAGTAGCTTAATTCATTTATGCTCGTGGCCCGACTCCTAACTCCTTGGACAGCTTTTGTACCTATCCCACTTATTAATTACCTATTGACCTTTATTGGGTTGGCCCATTACTTAACCTAAATCTACCTTGACTAATATATATTGGTTAGCCCCTTGTGACCGTGTGAATTGCAAAACCCTTGAGAGATAACCTAGTTGCCTTCTTCTCTTCTGCTTCATACTACTGTCTGCTTGGTTTCTTCTTTCTCGGGTTTTCTTTAGCCTTTGTAGTTGTCGCCTATGTGGCTACAATAATACTTTCGTTTGTGCTTCCTTTTGTGAGTAATAAAAGCAACCGGAGTGGGTAAAGTTGTAGGTGATTTTAGGTTGGTTCTTTGTGGTGTTGATCGGTTTTGGATTAAAACTGAGTCCGAAAAATCCTTTGGTGCTCAATCTTCCGCTTTACAAAAACAAATTCTTAAAATTTCGAGGGTTGTGAGAATTGGATCCCACTCAGATTACAAGGTCTTCAATGAAACTTGGGAACTCTCCAAGTCACATTGTTTTAGTCGAACTCGAGATAGCAAACTTGACGAGTGGACAAACAACTATGAAATCATATTTTTAATAAATTTTGATAAAAAAAATGATGAAATTTATGGTTGAAAGCTGATAAAAGTTGTGGATTCTTATGAAATGTGATTGAGAATGAGTTTAAAAAAAGAAATGATTTTTAAAACGTGGGGATAAGGAGAACAACATATAAAATCAGATGTCCTAGCTACAATGGCATCCTCAATATCATTGAGAGGTGAACTTTTCACTGCTTGAATGGCATTTCAAACAATTAGATTCAATTTTGCCATCCCTCCCCCTTCATAATCTCTGCACGCCATTCTATTTTTAGTTTCTGTCACTTTGGTTTTGTGTGTGTGTGCGTGCGCAAGAATCAACAATTTTCTTCATTCATGGAAACTACAGATGTAGCTATTATTCTAATGTTGTTTAATCCAATTAAGGTCCGTAATCTTTCTCTCATATTGAACGTCCAAGTGAACTAGACAAAACAATATAAAATCTTATTTGGTTCGATTTTTTCAAAATTTATTTTCAACCGCACAATTTATGGGAACCAAAACTTTTATTAACTTTTAAGTTACATATTTCATTAACTTTTATTAAAAATTTAATTTTAAGTCAAACTAAATAGAGGCTAAAATTTAAATTTTAATAGTCACATTAGCAATTATTTGTAGTGAATGGAAGCAATAGTATATAAAATTGGAAAACCAAATTGAAATAATGATTATCTAACTTTGCCATTGTTTGACAATCATTTTCAATCATATATTCATATAAATGTATAATTGAAAATGAGTATGTAAAAAGAAAAAGAAAAGAGTTGTCAAATAATAACTGTCAAACAAAGATTTTGACAAATACAACATTTGATGATGAATATGCTTCCCAAAAAAAAAGAGTGGGACCCAAATGCCATATTTCCTAAAGTATGGGGACCTTTGATGTCTTTAAATTTAAATTCTGATGCCACTCATTTTACATTGCCCTTTTCCCAACACTTCACAGGTGGAACAATTTTCATTTCCGGAACCACTTCGGCATAAAATACACGAGCAACCGTCCTTTAGCCGGCCATGGCTTCTTTCCCACCTCCACCTCCACCTCCACCTTCACCTCCACCACCACCACAAAAACAACAAACCAAACGCTTCAGGTGATCTTCATTAAAGAAACAGACCAAGAAAGCAGTTTCTCTCAATTTTTTTTTTTTTCTGTTTATTTTATCAATTACAGGATTAATTAATTTTATCATTTATTTCGTTGCAGAGATTTATACAACAACACAGAGAGTCAGATTTCACCTAGAGTCGACACCCTAAATCTTCATGATCATCACACTCCCTTTATGCCTCCTTGTATTTTCTCTATTATTTCACTAATTTAATTACATTTCTAAGAATTAATCAAAATTAATAATTCCCATTTTCGTTTTATCCTTCTTGGTTTCAGTCCAAGTGGAAGGATTGGCACGTGTTCCTGTTCGAGAAGAAAACGAGCTGGATTTACAAGCGAATTTCGGGTTAGAGTCCAAGAAAAAGAGCCGGAAAGCGCAAGATTTTCTAGAGAACTCTAATAATAATAATTCCCAGATATCTTGTGTAGAATTCTTGCAGGCACAACCGGTATCAACTGGGCTCGGGTTGTCATTGGAGCCAACTGCGGCTCTTCTTAGGCTTGTGGGCGATGATCTTGATCGTGACTTGCAAAGACAAGGTGCCGAGACTGATAGATATATCAAATTTCAGGTGGGAAATTTCGAGATATTTCAGTTCTACATTTTTATTTATTTTGTGTCGAAGAAATGTTAAATTTTGCTTTGATGAGTTATCTAAATGTCTGCACGTGATTTTAAGTGTCTCAGTACAAACTTGAAATTGGAGAGTGAAGCTTTTAAGGGAATTCTTTTTCTAGTTACTTCTCGTGGTGTTTATATAGTTTATTTGTTAACTTGTGTTATTGCAATTGGAAACTATTTCTTGTATTGCATGGAATCGAAAACTGCCTAATGTTAAATTATGTTGTCTTTACTTATACATATCAGCATTGCTCAAAGATTGATTGAGAAGTTTTTGGTAGGCCTTTTAAGGGACCTTAGCATGATGTTGCCATTTGAAGATGTCTTTTTATGGATATTCATTCATCTTTGGTGCAACTTGACTGTCGGATGTGAAAGTGTGTGTGCCATGATGTGTCAATCGAGATAGAAGGATGTCATAATTGGAGTTTTAAATAAGACGACCTTTTGATATATTCACTTCTATGAATGGAAAATTGTTACACGAGTTCTAGTTTCATCTTTAATTTTAGGTTCTGTTGATTGACTGCAAGTTAAGATAACGTTCATATTGGCCTGTCCATGTAATCCATGGGTTTGCACATTCGAGTATTGCCACTGTGCTATGTTTCTAATCTTATTTGGGTAATGGCATTGGTATCATGTTTAACACTTAGTGACTAGTGATGTAACTTCTAATATAACCTTTCTCATGCAGATAATTAAGCTGGAAACTATGTGCATACATGTTAGCGTGCCTAATTAGTTCTGTGTAATTGAATATCTTTAAGTTTTTCGTGCTTTCTAGGGCGAGCAATTGAGGCAAACTATTTTAGAAAAGGTTCGAGCAACCCAACTACTGGCGATCTCATATGTTGAAAATAAAGTCCTGCAAATACTCAAGGGGAAAGAAGCAGAAGTAGAAGGCATCAACAAGAAGAATGTGGAGCTTAATTTGCTAATGAGACGACTTTCTTCAGAGGCCAATGCTTGGCAGCAACGGGCAATTTTCAATGAGAAAGTGATTAACACCCTGAAAATTAATCTACAGAAGGCTTATGCACAAAATATGGGCGTTAAAGAAGTGCATGGCGATAGTGAGGTCAATGATACAGCCTCGTGCTCTGTCAGTGAAATGAAGAAGTTGCTGACATGTAAGGTTTGTAGTGTTAATGAAGTGTGCATGCTATTGTTACCTTGTAAGCATCTCTGCCTGTGCAAAGAGTGTGAATCTAAGCTTAGTACTTGTCCCTTGTGTCAGTCTGCTAAGTACAAAGGTGTGGAGTTTCATATGTAGTCGAATGATATGAATATAATACAATGTTAGTTTTACATGCATTAATTGAATTTTTTACTTTGTAGAGCTGTTTCTTATCCTCTTATGATGGTAAGAGCATATTCGGCTAAGCTTAAAAAGTTTACTTTTAAGTTGATAAGGGAGTTTTAAAATAAAAAATTTGTGATCAAATGTAAACATAAGTTACTTATTTTGACAAGATGGTAATAGTTACTTTCAATAGAAGTAACTTGTTTTATGTGAGAACACCTCTCTTTAAGATTAGACAAACATGCTCTAAGACTTGTTCAGTTTTATATCTACTTTTAAAAACTCTGCTATTGACGGTTTACCATGCATTTATTAAGTTTTATGTAATAACACGCTGCTTTGCTACCTATTTTCATTTAGTAACTAATTTTTCTGGATTTATTCATAACCTGTTGGTATGAACTGATAATAATCAATTGTAATGGGAACTTTTCATAATAACATCTGTCATTTATGTGGTAAAGAAGTTTGTCTTTTGTTCTTTTGTTTTATGATTTTTTGGCTGCATAGATTGGTTATTGCATACATACTTTTGTCGGCTGAGTGATTGACATTAATACTTCATCGTATTGCATTTACAATACCGATTACAGCATTATGTACACGTACATATATAGTAACGTCATGCTGATAAACAAGAAATCGTTTATTAACTATTGGCTACTGTTTTATATTAAATTAAATTAACCAGCTTATCTAATTGAAAAGAAGAATACCATTGAGGTAAATGAAGGTTTGATGAGAGGAATGGAAGTGATTGACAAAGAAGCTCCTCTAAGTGTTCTGGTTGGTGGAGCAACTGTGGGACGAATTTTCAACGTGCTTGAAGAGCTTGTTGATAATTTAGGTCTTGTAGATACTCGCACAACATCTCCTATTCATATACCATTGTTCTCCTATGCAAAGTAATGGTTCTCTGTGATTTTTTCTACAGATCAGAGATTGTTCTTAAACAACTTGTGATTTACTTTGTCTATCCCTTTTGTTCTGCGCTAGTCAACGTGTCTTTGAGGTGGAGTCCCATTATTCGTTTAATTACATCGTCTGCTGATACTCTCTTGCTTAATCTGTACATGAAATCATTTATATTGCTTATTTTTCCGTGCTATACTTGGACCTTTTGCAGAAATAGAGAGAGAATCTTGATGTGTTACCATATGCTCCTGTTGTTGCGCTTACTTTTGAAACCAAATAACCATTATTTTGTTGAATTATACTCCTGTTGGTAGTCGAAAGGTATTAAATTTTCTGAGGTGGAGTCCCATTATTCGTTTAATTACATCGTCTGCTGATACTCTCTTGCTTAATCTGTACATGAAATCATTTATATTGCTTATTTTTCCGTGCTATACTTGGACCTTTTGCAGAAATAGAGAGAGAATCTTGATGTGTTACCATATGCTCCTGTTGTTGCGCTTACTTTTGAAACCAAATAACCATTATTTTGTTGAATTATACTCCTGTTGGTAGTCGAAAGGTATTAAATTTTAAGTGTTAAGATGCATGTAATCAGATGTTCAAATGGGGCAGCATCTAATATGCTTGTTCATTCCAGTACAAGGTTGTATTCTGTGTTTTTCCTAGAATGGGCCCGTGGATTCTTTTTACATATATATATTAGCATACATAAATCAATCAGCTTACCAATAACTTACTATATAACGAATTTTTTAGGGGGCCATTTTATGTACAAGAAAGGTGTGCAAAAAAAAAAAAATGTATTCTTTCTCCATTATAGTGGTAACCTACCATGGCAAGTGGACAGTTAGGCCTCATCTTGAGGGCAGCTGCAGAACCAGCACCCAGTGAGAGGGTGCGGCAGTCCGTGCTGGCTCCATCGGAATGTTCATCACCGCTGGGTCACTAGACCATTGCGGCGCTGCAGTTGCAGAGCCTGAGCTGAGATGGAAGTCTGGAATTTGAAGAAAGGGATGACCTTTTTCCCTTTTTTTTGGTTTGGGCTGAAGTTGGGCCTCTTTTTTGTTTAAAAACATTAGGCCCAAGTCCCATATGAATGAATTATTGCCCCCAAAACAACAAATGGTCCAAATAAGTGAAATGACCAAATTGATTCCCTAAAACTGCAAAGGCAGACCCTTTTCCTCCCTTCTCCAGTTTTCCATTCTAAAATTGCCATTTGAAGATCAAAGAAGAGGTAGCAGATAGCAGCTGCTGCTACCGACGCTCCGAGGAGGAGGAGGAAGAGGCGCTACCAAAGAAGTGTTCTGCCGGCTGTTGCTTTCTTTTCTGGTCTCAAAGTCTTCGAGCTTGAGCAGCCTTCGATCGGACTGGTGACTGGTAAGCGCATTTGTCTTACTCTCTCTCTCTCTCTCTGGATTTGTTCTTGTTCTATTTTGTTGAATAATGAATGTTGTCTATAATTTGTAAATTGTTTAATCACATTCACATAAACTGTTAAAAAGCAATTTTTTAATTCTTATTTATGAGTTATGATTTATGTTTTGTGAGTTATTAAGGAGAATTGTGATTTATAATAAGTAATTTGTGTTTTATGAGTTATGAATCTATGATTATTGATTTGGGAATTTATGTTTAAAAAATTAGGATAAAGGAAAAAATTTAATTGAGAAGATGTTGCGCTTAATTCAACCTGTGTGAAAAAATTTAATTGAAAAAGTTTAATATTATTTAATCAAATTTTAATAAACGACTGAATTATTACGACAGTTGATTGTCGATGGTAAATTGTTAACGGTCAACAGTCAAGTTCCGTCCTAGCTAAACTTCGATGCTGCATTGCTTGAGGGTGAACCACTGTAAGTCCATTAGTGCTTTGCTCTCTTTTTATCACTCTCAAAAATAGGAATTAGGTTTTAATCCATAACAACCTGCATTGACCCGCAATTAGATAGAAGATCACAAACCAATGTATGTGCAAAAGAATTTTGTTTGATTCCTTTGTTTGTAACAAGTTAGTCGGTGTTAAAATTATTGAACAAAAACTTTAATAGAAATCGAAAGAATATTAAGATTTTTCATCCTCAGGTCCGGATGTTTCGCTAAAAGATATTGAGTATCTACAGCTGTGGTTAACACAATCAAGATGTACAAGATTATAGGTTAATATGCAAAGTATCCCAAAAAAAGGTCATGAGAATACAGTTTCTCCTTTCGAACTTTCTTCTTTCAAAATTACACCAAGTAATCAGTAGTTACTGCTCGCTAAAATAGCGTCTCAGTTTATTTACAAGATCTCACCAAGAAGAGAGAGAGAGAGAGAGATAACAGCCGAAGAAGAAGAGGAACAGTTTTTAGAGAGAAGACACATAACAAAGAAAACCCTAGAATAATCTCTCAAATGTGCCGTTCAGGTGTTTGGTTGTGGGCCACAGGAGATATAGGACGATTACATCAAAGCATTGTGTTTGGAGATAGTTTAGTGAATTGGAATAGACTAATGGAAAATTTTGTTACTCAGTGAAACAGATATGATGGATGAAGTGGGGCATTCCACACCAACCACTAGAATAATGGAAAAATTATGTTTGGATAATATGCACATTTGATCAAGTATTTCTTTAAACTGGGGATAATTTGAATGATTGTGGACAAGAAAGGTGATGCTGAGAATTTTGGCAATTGAGATTTGGGAACAGTTTGAATGAATGCGACCAATTATTGAATCGGTTTTTTTGGTGGTGCAGCTGGGGGTGGTAGGGTGGAATGGGTCGGATAAAAAGTTCTTGTGACCAACTGTTGTATAGTTGTGACCAATAAAACAAATAAATTATGAGCAATAAATAATATGTAATCTAAAAAAGTGTGATTTTATGATCGAGAAATAAGTTGTTACCAATTAATTTGATAATTTATAAATGTGAAATAAGTTGTGACATATACATTTTGTAATATGTGATCGAAAAATAAATTTTGTGATTGTATGTGATCAAATTTGTGTTAATAGTGAAATTAAAGTTTGTGACTATTATATGTTAACTGTGACCATGTATGTTTTATCTACGACTTATCGTGACGAAATATGTTTTCGTTGTGATTATTTGTGATCAAATCTATCTTAATTGTGATTTTATATGACCAAGTCCTTATTAACAGTGACATTTGTAGCCAAACATATGTAACAGTGAATGTTTCTGACAAACCTTGTTTAAATTTAAAGTTCGTGACTATTTATATGTTAACTGTGACAAATTGAGACCAAATTTATCTTCATTATGATTGTCTGTATCCTATATGTCTTAATTGTGACTGTATGTGACAAAGTCTGTGTGAACAATGACATGTATAATTAGACATCGATTAACTACCAATGTTTGTAACAAAACATGTTTTACATTCAAAGTTTATGACCATTTATATATAAATTGCGACCCTCTATGATCAAACCTGTGTTAACTATGACTGATTATGACCAATAATATGTTGAGGCCATCTCAAACCTAGCACCAAAATTTGCATCATTTTGCACCAAATTAAAATTCATCTCCAACCATTACACTAAAATTTACACCAAATGAACAATGTTTAATTATTTTCTTCTCTTTTTTTTATTCTTAATAATTTATTTATTTGAAATATTATTTATTTATTTATTCTACAAACACATAAATTATTAAATAAATAATTACGTTAAATTAAGGAAAAGCTTAAATTTATTAATAAATATAAAAAAACGTTATACAATTAGTAAAAATACTACAAAAATGAAAATACTAAATCATGTCATTAAAAAATAGTGCAATGCATCTCGAATTTGGATATTATGATATTATGAAATCGAAATATCGTTTGAATTTGTCTCAAAATTCGTCTGTTCTTTTCACAAATGATCGATTAATACATTTTGAAGTGCAGTATGAGCCTCTTTATCCTAGATTTGTCTACGACGAGCAAGAAATTCTTGAAAACGTTGTTGTAATATATTTCGTGTTAACTTTAAATAATCATGTTCGTTATATTTTAATTAATTTTTTTTTTTGTGTATTCTTGTTTTAATAAATTCAATAATTATTATTTTGTACATTTAAAATTTATTT